AAATGTTTACAGACTTATGCATTGCCCTTTTTGTGGAAGCATAATTGATAATGGGTATAAAAATTTAAGGTAAAAAGTTTATATTAATGAGAAATGCTAAGTTAGTACAAAAATAATTTTGACACAAAACTCAAATGAGTGCTAGTCAAGAAACAATGTATTGATGGCTATTTGTTGAAAGCTTAGGATTTATGTGGTATGCTAAATATAAAATATGAGACCTTCTAAGGACATTATGCTTTTATTGACATGATCAAAAACCAAAAGTTAATAGCACATAACAGAATCGTAATGCGGAAGGGAAGTGTCTGTTCAGTGGTCACTCTCGAAACAAAGGAAGAAGAGACTGTCATAAAGAGCAAGAATTATTTCCTTAATGTAGCAATCAGCAAGGGATCTGTAAACTGGATGAGGTGTAAAAGGCATGGTGGCACAAATTCAAATAATTTAAAAAATATCTCCCATCAAATCTTACAGCCACATTTTTCATATGCATTATTTCTAATACATTCACATTTTTTTTTTCACGATTTTTTCCCAGAATGTTCAGGCCCATTGGGAATTGAAGGTGGAATCATATCAAATCAGCAAATCACAGCTTCCTCTACTCACCGAGCTCTTTTCGGACTCCAGAAATGGTATCCCTACTATGCACGTCTTAATAAGAAGGGTCTTATAAATGCCTGGACAGCTGCAGAAAATGACAGATGGCCATGGATTCAGGTAAGAGATGGGATGGGACAAGTTTACTGCCCAATATGACCAGAGTCATTTAAGAAAGCAGACAAGTGAGAACTCAGTGTGACTCTTCCTCATGGTCAGAGGAAAGGGTGATTTAGTTAAGAGCTCAAATTAGCCACAAGCTCTGAAAATATAGGAAACATACATATTCTATTGGAAAGTGTGTTAAAGGGATTAAAAATGTTAAAATTCTTGATGTATAAATACTACTATTTTAAGTTACCTATCCAAGAAGGAGGCTTTCTCATATGCTATGTGTCATTAGCATGTTGTTAACATTTAGCAGCAATTTAGGATACTCCAAGAATATAAAAATCACATCTATTTCTTGCCTAAGAAGTAGTTCCACATATGCAAGTATAAAATAGACAATGGATTATGATAACAATACTTCAAATGCACCTTCTTTCAATAGCTGAGAGTATTTCAGTTCATGGTGGCATTTGTTGTCATCAGCCACCTATTCTTTTAAAACAGAAGAAAACAACAATATGCTGAGAAATTAAGTGATTTCCCAAAGATGGCCTAGAGAGTAGTACTGCCAAAACCTTATATTCTATCCATTTCAAAGTTTTTTGAGCATTTAGATAAAGTAAAACAGTAAATTAGATATTAGGAGAACAGAAAAGATGATCAAAACCGATTTCTTTGAAAGATTATCCCTCTGTTGGGGAAAGTACATTAATAACTATCTAACAAGTCATTGATTTGTGCTAAAGGGAAGAAAAATCCAGTATACTGTTGGGTCAGAGGAAGAAGTAATTAATTATTTTGAGAAAGCCACATTGGGAAGACAGGATTTGAGTGAGGTCTGTCAAGACAGCTTTCAGTAGAGACTAGAAGCCCAGGGAACAGCATGATCAAAGGTGCCAGATGGGAATCTGGGGAATATCTTGTAAAAAATCATGATTTGAGGAAAAGTTGCTGGAGGGATGTGTTCAAATTTAGTGTGGGAGTTTGCCATGCCTAAGGATTCATACTGAAAGGTATTAGCTTTATTCCATTGGAGTGAGGCCCTATTAGAGAATTTTGAATAGTTTAGGTGACTGATTGCCGGGAACGTGGCCAGTGTTCCCTGCAAAAAACCGGGTCACTTTGGTAGAGTTGCAAGGGATAAGAAAATAATAGAGAAAAATGGAAAATAAAAGAAATAAAAGAATACACAGAGACAAAGATATAGTTTTATAAGTTTATAAAGATTATAGGCAAAGTGGGATCTCAGGGGGCCTAGACCTTCTC